CCAGGAATAGTATTGCTGGAAAATATGATAGTTGTACCTTTAGTTTAGTTTGTAAGGAACCTCCATACTGCCTTCAGCGGCGGTTGTGCTAACTTACATTTGCCACACTCTAGGGTTTCCACACTTGCTATTCCTTCTTTCTGCAGTGCTCATTCTCCACCAAAAGTGTACAAGAGTTCCTTTTCCCCCACATCCTTGCCAACATTTCTTGATGCTTATGTTCTTGATGATAGCCATTCTGACATGAATGAAGTAATATCTTAATGTTGTTTTGATTTGCATTTACTTTACAGCCAGGGATGCTGAGCATTTATTTAAAGATTTTTGTTCTATGTAGAATTGATATTAGTACCAGGTGAAAGACAGATATCTAGTTTCATATTCTGCATGCAGATTTCTACTTTTCCCAGCACAATTTGATGAAGAGGCTTTCTTTTATCCAACATGTTTTTGGTACCTTTGTCAAAAATCAGATGAGTGTAGCTGTCTGGGTCTTCTATTCTGTTACATGAGTCTTCATGTCTGTTTTTTGTGCTGATACCATGCTGTTTTTATTGCTATGGCTCTATAGTATAGTTACAAGTCAGATATTGTGATACCTTCACCATTGCACTTTTTTTCTCAGGATTGCTTTACCTATTTGAGGTCTGTTGTGCTTCCACATGAATATTAGGATTGATTTTCTACCTCTATGAAGAATGTCATTGGAATTTTGATGGGGAATGTTTTGAAAATATAGATTGCTTTTGGTAGTATAACTATTTTTACAAAGTTGATTCTGTTGATCCATTAGCCTGAGCATTCTTTCCATCTTCAGATATCATCTCTAATTTCCTTCACCAATTACTTATAGTTTTTATTGTAGATGTCTTTTACCTCCTTCATTGAATTTGTTCCTCGGTATTTAATTTTTGAGGCTATTGTAAATAGGATTGTTTTCCTGATTTATTTCTCAGTCTGTTCATGGTGTTACATAGAAAAGTTACTGATTTTTGTATATTGATTTGATATCCCTCTACTTTGCTGAAAGTGTTTGCAATGTCTATAAAGTTTTTTGGTGGAGTTTGTATGGTCTTTAAGGTATAAGATCGTACCATCTGCAAATAAGGACAATTTGACTTCTTTCTCTCTAATTGAATACACTTATTTCTGCCTCCTGGCTTGTTACTCTGGCTAAGAACTCCAAAACCATATTGAGTAAGAGTGGGGAAAGTAGACACAATTGTTTAATTCCTGACTTAGAGGAAATGGTTTCAGTTTTTCCCCATTTATTTGTCATAGATAGCCTTCATTATTTTGAGGTTCATTCCTTCTATTCCAAGTTTTTTAAGAGCTTTTATCAGAAAAAACTTTTGAATCTTGTCAAAAGCATTTTCTGCATCAATTGAGATGATCATGTGATTTTTCCGTGATTCTGAGTATATGTTACCTTACATTTATCTATTTGTGTATGCAGAGACATTCCAGCTTCCTTGGAATGACATCAAATTGATCACGATGTCTGATCTTTTTTATACATTGTTGAATTCAGTTCGCCAGTGTTTTTTTGAGAATTTTAGTTCTTTAAATGTCTAGTAGAATTCAGTAGTGAATCCATCAGGTCCTGGGCTTTTCTTTTCTGGGAGACTCTATTACTGCTTCTATTTCGTTGTTATGAATCTACTAGGTTCAAAATTATTTTCTTTCAGCACTTAAAATGCTTCGTTCCCTTCCCTCCTTGCTTTTAAGGTTTCTGTTAAGAAATCTGCTATTATTCTGATGAGTTTGCCACTACAGGTGACATAATTTCTCCATTGAGGTTTTCAGTATTCTTTTCCAGTTGTCTGGGTGCTCAATGTTATAACTATAATATGCTGTGAAGAGTTTCTATTTTGGTCACGGTGGTTTAGAGTCCTGCAGGCCTTCCATACCTAGATGGGCATCTCTTTCTCAAGATTTGGGAAGTTTACTGTTATTTTATTGAATTTGTTTCCTATGCCTTTAGTTTGTGCCTCTTCTTCAATGTCCATGATTCATAGATTTGATCTTTTCATTGAGTCCCAGATTTGAGTTATTGAGTTACATATTCTATTCATATTTCTTCATTTTTTTATATAGTCATCTGTTTTTTTCTATCATTTCTAGAGGTTCATTTTGAGGATTTTTGAAGATTTCTATATCTTTATTGAATTATTCTTTCATGTCTTGCATTGTCTTCCTTATTCCATTTAGCTGTTTATTCATGTTCTCATTGATTTCATTGACTTGTTTTTGTATGTCATATTTCATCTCATTGATCATTTTTATCATTCTTTTGAGTTTGGAAATTGAGATTCCATTCCCTTTATTAGCCATCAGATCCTTTGTGTAGTTGTTGACCTTTCAAGGAGTTGTATTTCCATGGTTTTTCATATTTCATGTCTCTAATTTGAGATTTGGTTATCTGCAGTCAATTAGTTAGTGGGGGTTTTGAGTCACCTAAAGTCTTTCCTTGAATTATTTTCTATCTTCTGGCAGAAATGGTTAGTGACTAGGTTGTTGTGCTGTTTCTGACCACTGGCCCAAGGTATAACCTAGCAATAACAAGTTCACCAACTTAATACCAAACCAGACATTTACATGAAGCAGACCATTGGCAGTATGGTCTAACTGATCATGTTATACATAAAGGGGACTAGTGTTCTTATATGGTACAGTAGGGGGTTAGAAAACTAAAATTTGTTTGCATGGAAGGGTGATGAGAAGGAGAGTAAGATATGAGAACTGTAGGTAAATAAAGCTCTAGATCTGTAAAGACACAGTTCAATTGTTGTGGAAAATGGTGCTATTGCCAGGGATTGCAAATGGATAGAAAGGTTGTGAGTCATGTAAGTAGGAGGTAGACTAAACCATCAGCTGAATGGCTTTCAAATAAGAGATAGGAAAAGTAGAAAAAGGAAAGGAAATGAAAAAGTGAGGAGAAAGTATTGGCAATATATGAGGGTTAGACAAAGTAATTCAGTAGTTCTTCCTTATTGAGGAGAAGAGTAGATATTTTCTGTGCTCTATTACAACACTGATGCTTCACTGGAATCTCTCATCCTCAGGTTTTTATCTGCATTTCTGTTGTGTTCACGCATGTATACACTCTGGGCACTGGGTTGCTAAACGTAACCTGGAATGGGGAACCTCTTATTAGGTCAATTGCTAGAGTAAGGTAGGTCAGTTCTGGGTGTTCTAGGTTGTGATTGTGGGGCAGTTGTGGGCTCTCTGAGAATTGATAGTGGGTTAGAAAGCACTCTGCCACTTTCAGATCCCATGCTTTTCCATATTCAGTGACTTTAGTGGCTTCTCTGGCTTCTCCATAATGGGTTTTTTCCCCACCTAGGCCTCCAGCACAGTGTGTCTTTTGGAGAGTGAGGGGCAAATATCTCCTGTCACTTGAGCATATGCAGGCACTGCTGGGTTGAGTGGTAGGTTAAGTGCTCTAGCTAACTTAAGCACTTAACCTACCACCTGGTTAGCTCACCTGGCAGCACCCTGCTTGTTCTGGGATAGAGATGCAGACACTTACCTCTAACTGAGGATGCAGGGCTGAGTGGCTTACTCTCATTCCTAGCCACCCAGTCTGGGAGCCCTCAGTGAGTCCATTTATCCAACAGTTTTCTTGAGGGGGGACTCACATCGGTTCCCTTAGACACCAGATTTTTGGGAGCAGATAAATTTTCTGCTGTGCACTAAACTGACCTTTGAAGAGCCTGCTGGCTTTCTGTCCCTCCTTTGATAAAGATGCTGGGCTGAGTGGCTTCAGCCCATCCATGCCAGGGTGGTCTAGGAGACTTCCATAAGTCCAGTTAGCAAAGGTTTTTCTGTGATGTCAGTTTCTGGTTACTTAGCCACCAGATTTTTGGAAGTGGGATGAATTTGTCCCTACAAGTTGAGCTAGCCTATGTGTTTACCTACTCATTTCTTCTCCCCCTTTGGATAGAGCTGGCTGGACTGAGTGCCTTCATCCCACCCCCACCAGGCAGGTCCAGGATCTTTCAAGTAGTCCACTTAATCAAAGGTTTTCTCTAAGGTCAGATTCAGCCCTCTTACGCACAAGATTTCTAGGAGTCGGATGGATTTGTTCTCATGCTCTGAGCTGGCCTGTGCATTAGCCCTCACAATTGAAAGACTTAGCTCTCCTGATGGGTTTGCTGGTTTCTGTATCTGATCTCAGTGGGGATGAAGATCATTAGGTGGTTAATGACCAGGGGCTTGGGAAAGGTGTCCTGATATGCTCTTAGCTTCTGTTCCATTTATTTTCTCATGCAGTGTAGACCTTATGAGTTGCTCTTGCAGGAAGAAAAAATAGACAGAAAAAAACAACAAAATTTAGGCAGGGACATGGAGTGGAGATCTGGGTCCTCACCAAGGCACCCACAGCCAGCTTGCACTTTTACAGGCTTACTTACAAGTTGGGAACTCTACTACAGTTTGTCCTTGTACTCCCCTGCCTTTAAGTGAATTAACTTGCTCTCCTATCCTTGCACCCACAAACCTGAGGTTTTCTTTCAGATTTGTGGAGACCCCAGGAAGTGGTGCCTGCCAGCAATCCATTGTCTTTCACTAGGATATTTCGATTCTAATCTATGCAAATTAACATCACTTCTTTCAAGCTAGAAAAAATGACAAAAATGCAAGCCTGCTTTATTTAGCATACAAATAATTACTGACTCACAAACATAGTGTGGTGTTATTTCTCATTGATATATACACATTGCATCAGAGAGATATTAATCAATTGGTAAGATTTGAGTTGACTTTATAGCAGACATTTATTCTCATAGATACATATATTATGACTAATTATAAACAAGAAATTTCTTCCTTACCATTTTCCTAAGTGATAATCGTTAGGTGTGCTGTGGGTTCATATGAGGTCAAGTAACTTGATTTTGCTTGGAACACCAATGAAAGGCCGAAGAATGAATTCAAGAAAGCACAGTGGAGGTGCCTAAAATTCTTTTAACATTTAAATCACTACTCTTTCTCAACAGGGTATTTGTCACTCTACTATTTGGTGTCAGCATTCTGTGGGTCCCATTAATCCAGAAATTTCAAAATGGACAATTATTCCATTACATGTCATCAATTTCCAGCTACTATGGGGCTCCAATTGCAGCAGCCTTCTTGCTTGCTGTCTTCTGCAAAAGAGTCAATGAACCAGTAAGTGAAAATGGAAACATCTTTTTTATGCCAGAGCAAGAAAAACAATCTTCTGCTTAGTTAGAAAAGTACATTCTGTCACCCAGGCATAGCGGGAATGCCTATAGTCTCAGCTATTTAGGAGCCTTGGCAGGAAGATAGCTACAGCCTAGGAGTTCAAGACCAGCCTGAGACACCATCTCAAAAATAAAAATGTTCTTAGGGCCAGGCATGGTGACACACACCTGTAATCTCATTGATTTAGGAGGCAATAATGAAGAAGATCATGATTTGAAGCCATCCTGAACAGTTACCAAGACCCCATCTCACAAAAATCTGGGCATGGCAGTGCAAGCTATAATCCCAAATATTCAGGAGAAGTAGGATGATCAAAGTCCAAGTGGTAGAGTGCCTGTATAGCAAGCATGAGGTTGTAAATTCAAACCCTAATCCCTCAAAAAAGAGCATTCTTTCTACCCTATGTATAAAACTCAAAGCCCATTTCAGGTTCAGTTGTAGTAAGCCACAATTTCTCATCTTCACAAAAGGTATGGGAATACATAGTGCACATTAATAAGAAAGCCTTTTCATTTCTTACAAATTATTATGTGCACTCATGCTGAGGAAAATGCATTTGGAAGGTAGAGTTCCAGAGTCCAATCATGGCATAGCCAAATTATGACCTCACACAAAGCATGTGACTCTAATATAAAAATGGTAACTCCTACCTTATGGGATTTCTGGGAGGACTGAATTAGTTGAAATATGTAAAATGCTAGAAGAAAATCTCCCATACTAGTAATGGTGCAAATATGTTATTATTGCTGATATCAAATAAATGATAGATTCTTGTGGACCATTTATGCCCACACAACATTCCCTAATTATCCCTAGGTATTAATTTTATTGCCATAATTTTAGAATGGAAAACAAGTACAGAGAGGTTAATATCAATGTGCTTGTCATATCTTACTAAGTGGGATATTTGGATTCAGACTTAATCTTTCTCCATCCAAAACTGTTATTCCTACTTTCCATGCAACACTACTTCCATAAAATGTAGCATCTGGAGCAGGAGAAAGAGACACATATTTCTAACCAGCAGCAAGTTCTCAGAGAAATGATATGCTGTTTTCAAAAGCTTTATAGAACTCTCAGAACTACTTATCAGCCATGAAAATTGTGTATTTTATGTTATAGTTGTCTTTATCCAACAACATAAATCAAAAGTTCTAAAAGCTGAATAGAAAAAAAATTCAACAAAAAGTTCAGCTTTACTCAAAGTAAACAATACTGTTCTAGAGTTGGAAAATCAATCCTTGAGATTATGGATGTAAAATAGCTTAATGTAATCATTCCACAATATGTATATAGTAATATAAACCCATTTTACCCTTAAATATATATAATTCTTACTGCCAAATAAAATACCCAAAAATGTGTAATGGGATTTCACATCCAGCTAATAAACATACAAATTTGCAACCTCCTCTACTTTGAAAAGCTTTAGCTCAGTAATTGGATGCAATTGGAGGTCATCATGTTAAGTGAAGTCAAGCTCAGAAACACAAAGGTGCATGTTTTCTTCCATACGTGGAAGATAGATCCAAACAATAAACATTACACAAAAACAAACATAATCACATACAAACTCCTATGAAGAACAAGTTAGTAACAGTGGAACTACTGTATAGAACTTGGGGGAAGAGGGAAAGGAAAAGAGAATGACAGAACATCTGTAATACCATAGAACATAACATCTGTAAAGGTAGAGGATATATGTATGTGCATTGAAAAATGTTGACAAATGGGGGGTGGGAGGTAAAGAGGTAAGGGAGAGTAATGGAAGGGGTTGAACGGATCAAAGTAAAGTATACTCACAGTGGGTATACACTGAGACACCTTTTGAACATCAATTTAAATATTAATAATGAAAAACAGGACTGTAAAATAGGTGCAGTGGGTGAGGTAGTAGTGGGAGGGGAGAGGGGGAATGAAGGAGATTAAGGTAAGGGTGTATGGTTGATGGACTTCATATATTTGTATGAAATGGAACAAAGAGACCTCTTGCAATTGCTTTAAGTGGGGTGGGAAGGAGGTGAAGGGGGAGAGATGATGGGGGCAATGTAACTCCCCCCTTGTATTATTAATGTATCCTAACAAAAACTCATAATTTAAAAAAAAAGCTTTAGCCCATGGTTAGTCATTTGTCAGTTACAACAGGTAGGGTGGTATTTATGTCTTACCTGAATAATCCCATAATCTTTTCTAAACATTGATTTTGTTCATGTTTCTTTTGCAGGGAGTATTCTGGGGTCTAATGGTTGGTCTTGTAATAGGCCTGATTCGTCTGATCACAGAGCTTGCATATGGAACAGGAAGTTGCCTGGCTCCCAGTAGTTGTCCACAGATTATCTGTGGAGTGCACTATATGTACTTTGGCCTCATTCTCTTTTGTGTGACAGCTGTGGTCATCCTGGGAATTTCCTTCCTAACAAAACCAATTCCTGATGTGCATGTGAGTGACATGTAATGTCTATAAGCTCATATTAAAATAAGAGTTCTTTTCTTTATAAAGCTGCAACTAGTATATGAGTCTAAGATCAGAGAAATCATTGCATCACTAAAGCAACAAGCTTCCTAAGAGATTTCCGCCCAGACATCTACTCAACAATTTTGCACCCAGCATGTCAACATATTTCCTTGAGGTACAACAAGTACATTCTGTGGAGGTGGACAGCCTGAAGTTGAAAGTGGCTGAAATCACTTTACCAAACACATGTCATCAGACTTCATCATTAAATACTTACATTTAGTATTAGAAGTTGAACTGAAGAACATTAGAATATGTAACATAGTTTCCAAAGAAAATATGCAAGTGTGAAACACTTATATGACAACAGAAATAAGACTAAATTACTGTTAATTTTTAAAAAGAAATTGTCTCAAGGGCTAGTGAGACCATTTGATTTATTTATATTTCAATATGCTTATTAACTTTCAAATCAGACTGTAATATCAACCATTATTTCATAGACAGTCATGATAACTACTGTGGACCTCAACTTGCAGAGTAGCAATGAGATACAGATGGGGGCAAGAATAATGAAACAAAGGCACATTAAGACAAGAATTCAAGGAGTCCAGTGAAAAGAGTTTGGGCAAAGGAAGTTAATTTAATATGAGAAATGCTACAAATAAGAACTTATGAAGCTTTGATGAGAAATCTCAGTGATAAGGTAAAAACATATTGTTTGTATATTGAAGTTAGAAGGCCAATTACAAATTCTAGTACATTGGGACAAGAAGACATGGGATAAATTAATTGATGGATTGCTTTAAAAATATGATGAATTATAAATTTATAAACCCATTGAAACTTAGAATAATTCCTTTATAAGGACTCAACACTGGTGCTTATCCATTCTGTCTGATCACGTGATGTGAGTCTATGGCAAAAAACAGTAGCATATATGCTGAAGTCTTTCCAATTTTTTTAATCAACATACAGCCTAAGAATGGAAATCTTACTTCTATTACATAACACAATTAAATTCTACCAAAGTTAGTTTAAAATAATAGTATAATTTGTGCTGGGTGCCAGTGGCTCACGCCTATAATTGTAGCCACTCCAGAGACAGAGATCAGAAGGATAGTGGTTCCAGGCCAGCCCAGGAAAAACATTTGCAAGACCCATTTCAAGAGGAAAAATTAGACATGATGGTGCACACCTGTCATCCCAGCTATGGCAGGAAGTATTAATAGAAAGACTGTAGTCCAGACTGACCCAGGCAAAAAGCAGTACCCTATCTCAAAACTAACCAAAGCAAAAATGACTGGAGGCATTGCTCAAGTAGTATAGCATCTACCTAGCATACACAAAGCCCGAGTTCAAACCCCACTAGTGCCAAAAAGATAGATAAATAAATAAATGAATAAATAAATAAAAATTTAAAATAATAGTGCATTTGATGGAAGCTTGCCAGCGAGTTAGAAAGGCTTTAATTGTGATTGGAGCACAAGAATAGATACTATGTAAATATGATGGATCCATAACTAGACTTTAAGAAAACATTTTAAGTTAAGAAGCTCAATATTAGGCCATATGAAAGTAATCATAATTTAGCTATTAACAGTTGGATGATGGGAAACTGAGAGAATCTAGGGTATAGTACAGGTAAGACAAATCTTTGATTTTTCTGGAATCACAAATCCAGAAGTAGGATTTCCAAGAATATAATTTAAGGTTTTTAATGACTAGTAGAAGGATGAAAAACAGAAATAATTCAAAATGGTTGTGTATTTTGGTTGGAGACCTTCTTATAACCTATATGCTCCAGTGCATGTACACTAAGCATACACTAAATATCTCATGATTCCTCTCCCAGGTAAGATTCATATTTTTCATGACTGTCTGTAAAATAATTGTTGGTATTTATCTGTCTGCTTTGAAAGTTAAAACCACAATGTTTGTTGAAATATACACTAATTAAAAGCCTCATGGTACTTTAGACCATTTCTTTTCTTTAAAAAAATTAGCAAATTATTGTTATTTCTATGTCAATATAAAAGTTTAATATTTACATATTTTCTTTGGAAACTATTATATATTTTGTTGTGTTCTTCCACTCAACTCCGGATATTCAGCGTGAATACTTAGAGATGATATTTATCCATACACTAAACAAGGATCCCATTGGATCATTGCAACCACTTGCCCATCACTAATGAACTCATGTGTCTAATCTCTTGTTAGCTTTATCGCCTGTGCTGGGCTCTTCGGAACAGTACAGAAGAACGAATCGACTTAGATGAGGAAGACAAATGGCAAGAAGAAGTTGGTGATGATGCTGAAGATGGTAATGTCTGGCTTACTTTTGGTTACTTTGTTAGTATATATTAGGTGCGCAGGAGGGTTTTATCATGATATTTACATACATGCTTACAATGTATCTTAATTAGATTCAACGCCCCCTCCACCATTTTTTCCTCATCCCTCCTAAGAACACTTACAACAGTTTTCATTGTTCTATTTTCATACATGTATACGAAGGCATGGCTTGGTTTAATGGTGATGTTTTTATGCCACCAAAATCAGCTTCTGTAAAAGCTGTTATACATGTGGCAAGCTAAAACATTAAAATTGTATAGTTTCAACGACCAAGACAATGGCTTACTATATATTAAATCCATTTACTCATCTGCTTGTCCATCTATCCGTCCATCTGTCCACCCATCCATGAAACTGTGTGCCACCTGCTGAAATGGCAAATGGCAATCAGTTACAAACTCTTGTGCTACTAATCATATACTGAGCTCCACAAATCAATCTTGATTGATTATGCTGAAGCATCTAATCCCACCTCCTCTCCAATCTTATTTCTCACTATTCTCTCCCATACATCACCATTCCAGGTAAGCAGGTTTCTTCATTTTGCTACACAAAACAAAAATGTCCCTAGAATATTTGCACTTCCTGTCCAAGATAAAGAAAGATACCCACTCTTAAAACCTAGGTATGTTCAATCACACTTCCTCATGAAAATATCCCAAGGATCCATCTCTATAGCTTTTATTACCTAACATTTTTAGAACCTGTGACATGCTTTAGCATCTCTGGATACATTATTTTGAACTGCTCAGTTTGATTTGGTTAGTTCCTCCAAATTGAGGCAAAGGTCAAGAATCAATGTATTCTATTTCTTGTGTTGTTCATATAAGAGCTGCTGGGTAAAACTAGCCTAGGATTTTCCTTTCTTGTACTTTGTTTCAGTGTTAAGATCAGAAATTTATTCTCAAAGAATAAGTCAGCAAGTATCACTAGCACATGTTTTCATTTTATGGAAATATTTCAATAATATTGAAATATCACCTCTAAAATTTTAGTATTTTGCCAGTAATATTCAGACATATTATGAATGTGTGTGTGAGAAAGACCGACAGACAGACAGATACACAGATGGACAGACTAACAGAGAGACAGAGAGGGGACATGGGGGGGCATAGACAGACAAAGACCAAGAGAGACAATGAGAGAGAAACTTCTTAAATACTGATCAAATTTATATAATGGCAATAAAGGTATTAAGAGTGTCCACAGATGAATGAATCACTTCCAAAAAGTTCTATATTTCTAGAATTGTGTTCATTCAGTGCACATTTTAAGTATTTTGGCATAAGTTATTCTATTTGTTATCATTTCCTTTCTGCTACCTCTGTACTTATGTCTCCATTTTATCTCTAATGTGCTTTTTATCTGATTTCATTTTCTTCACATACCATTTTGTGTTTTGTTTCCTTTTGGTCAGCACTGGGGTTTGAACTCAGGGCCTCACACTTGCTAGACAGGCACTCTACTGCTTGAGCCACTCCAACAGCCCTTCTGATTTCTCTTTTTTCTGACTGAAGACTAGAACTAACTTTTAGATTTCTTTCTCTCTGTCATTATCCTTCTTTTTGATTTCAGTACTTTTGTTCTCATTTGTATATCCTTCCATTTATGTTGTTTATCCTATTGGATATAGATTCTAATTTAGGTTGGATATTATTTCATAAATTTTCAATCTCTTAATTTCAGCTTCTTTTAAAAGCAAAGCTCTCATGCATTTCCCTTAAAGGAAAACCTGTGTTTATCTCACATATTTATTTCCTATAATTTTGTTATCATTTATTGCTAAATATCATCTTACTTTCATTACAATTTTTCATAGACATTTGACTGTAGAAGTATGTTTTAAATTTTCCAATGGTGCAACAAAAAGCTTTGTACATATTGCTCTTTATCTATGTATCTTTATCAATGTATACCATTGAAAGATTTCAAGAAGTTTTCTGGGTTGAAAAGTTAATGCCTGTGCAGTTTTGTTGTATTCTCAAATTTTCTTCCGTAGGAGCTAAATCATGCTTTCCTATCAATAATGTGTGACAGTTCCTATTTCCACACAGATTCATTATCAACATGAAGTGAAAGCCTCAAGTTTTCCTATTGGTAGAAGACAACTGACATTTCACTGTAACTTTAATTTAATTTAAATCTCTCTTTTCTGAGTGATCTTAAGAAATATCTGTCTTTTTCTTTCAACTGCTTCTTCATCTGCCTCGGATATTTATGAGGGGTTGTTTATGGTTTTCTCTTCTCTACCTTTAGAAACCTATTATTTAATAAGGATATTAAATGCATTGTAAAATAATACATCAATGTTTTCTCCAGTTTTTAACAAGTTTTTACTTTGTTGACTGTATTTTAATCATGCAAAACTGTTTTATATAGCCAAATTTGATCTTATTTCTCATACGTTCTTCTGACACTTCTAAGTAATTGTTCTTATCCCTCATAGTCAACAGCACAAAATTGAAAAGGAGTTCTATTTCCCATCTTTTCTGAAGATTTGTTCATCTTTTTTGTTTCAGATCAGCCAGAAGAATCCCGTGGATGTTTCAGGAAGGCTTATGACATATTCTGCGGTTTGCAAAACACAGGACCTAAGCTGACCAAAGAAGAGGAAGAAGCCCTGAAGAAGAAACTCACAGACACGTCTGAGAAGCCTTTTTGGAGGACTGTAATGAACATCAATGCCATCATCCTTCTGGCTGTGGGAATATTTGCCTATGCCTACTTTGCCTGAACTCTATCTGAGCCACTACAGTATTGGTTAGGAAAAGGAGAATTTTATTGACTTTTATTTTATAGTTTATTGTGCTGCAGAAGAGGGATGACCAATTGGAAATTGCATCTAGTTAGATAAAATTTATTATCTATCATTCCTTTGTGTTAATTAGATCAAAATACTTTTTCCACCTCTATTGATATATAAATTAAAAATTAAAAATTTTTATATTTAAGTTATAAAACAAAATTGATATATGTACTCATTTTGAAATGATTACCATGATAAAGTTAATCAATCCATCTACCATCACCTATGATTAACCTTTCTGTGCTTATGGTGACAATACTTAAGATCTATTCACTTAGCAAACTTCAATTTGTTAAACACACAAGAAGTATGTTTATGTCATCATTATGTACATTCAACATGTATCTGGAAGTTTGTGCCCTTTGATTGACATCTCTCTGTTTCAAGAGTTGGCTTCTCATATAGACTTGGACTTTCAATACCCTTTGAATATTGTACCAACGAAGTAGTGTCACATGTCTGCTCAAATAAGTCTGGAATCTTACTCAATGCACATGATTCAGAGCAATTTCTCCTTCTTACTATTTGATTATTAGGGGCAAGCTTCCTTTATGCATCTGCATTTGTAACTATGTGTAATGCCTTTGTATGCTCCAATGGAGAAAGGGAGCATAAATGTAACAATAGTAAAGTCTTGATCTTGTCATTAATGGAAATCTGCACCAAACTTTTTTTTACAAGTGAACAAATTCAGTTCTAGAGAGGCTATATGTAGAAGATAGACCCAATACAAATACAAGCAATATTATGAAAAACAGGACAAACTAAAGGCAAGTTACTAATGGAGAGGAGGGGTAAAAGGAAGTTATGAAATTGCATATGTACTTTCTATACAAGAATGAATATAGAATTTTAAAACCTGTTGAAATCACCATGAAAGGGGGACTAAGGTAGAAAGGGAAAATTAGGAAATTAAACAACTTGGGTTATAGTATACATATATACATAGAAATGTCTCAAGAAAACAAACTGTATACCTATCTTAAACAAACAAAAATGTCATTTGTTTTACAAAATCAGAGAGCAGGAGGGCAGAACATGTCCTGTCTAGGGGATTGGTCCAGTGGGAGAGGGGAGGATGTGACGAAAGGGTGTAGGAGGGTGAATATGGTGCAAACACTGTGTACACATATATGTAAATGGAAAAATGAGAGCTTTTGAAAGTATTCCAGAAATAGGGGGAGGGGGATAAAGGAGAATGATGGAGGGGGTGCATCACATATGACATATTTGATACATTGTCCGAACTTCTGTAAATGCCACAATGTACCCCCAGAACAAAAATAAAAAAATAAAAAATTGAAGATTTATCCAAAATTATTAGCAAGTTGATCCTGGAGACTATTTTGTAAGTCACTGACTTACTGTATGAAAATAATGAATGTTGACTCCTGCTCACAGTTAATGCCAAGGGTAATTTGATTTGAATCGCAGACTAGATACAAAATACAAATCCACAAAGATTCTGAAACAATATTTAAAAAAAATTATATCTTTAGAATAGACAATTCCTTCACAGAGAGGACACAAAAACTAATCATAAGAGGAAACATCAGTAAATTACATTACTTCAAAACTGAGAACTGCCAGTAAAAGTCTCCTTGATAGAAATGACTTTCAAGTCACAAAATGGCAGAAAATAGTTGGCAGCATACTCATTTGACAAAACTTGAATCCCAAAAATATAAAGAACTTCCGCAACCTCACAGTAAAAAGACCAACAAACCAATGTTGAAAATGGGCAAAAAGAGACACCGCTCAAAATATATAAGACAGTCAAATACTACATGAAAAATGACAACCATCTCTATCATTCAGTAGAATTCAAATGTCGCTCCACACCCTGTTAAATAACTATGTTAAGTACTACAGCAAAAATAACCATTTCAAGAATGAGCACCAACTAGAACACAAACTGCTGCATAAAGAGTAAGGTGGCACAGCATCTTTGGAAAACTCCTTGACAGCTCTTTGTATTGTTAACTGTAACCTACAGCATGGCCTTCAAATGCTGCTCTGCACTCCTGAGTACCTTGAGACTTCAGATAATGAGAGGTTACCTTTCAAGGACCCATCTCTAGAAGAGATCTTCCCAGGTTCAGCACATGGAGTCTGAATATGAGTTCAGGCATTTGCCACAGATCCTTACTCACAATTAATGCAGAATGAGTGGGAATGAATTCTATCACTCAGCTTCCTCCTGAGGAGAGAAAGAACAAGGACCTGAGAAACACCTGTGACCACTGGCTAGGCTGACTGGTATGGTCCATATCCTATATGAGTACCATAGAAAAGAAGGGTAGAGGTGATTATCTTATCCAATCCACACAAAGAGTCAAGGAAAAATAAAGAAATAAGAAAATGAGTTGTAAATAAAATAAAAATCCACAAGCTGGATTTAAAAGGAAGACACGATGATTTCTTGTTTACAAGAAATCCATCTTTAAGATGTTACCTCACCACAGCTCTCAAAAAGAACTGCAGAACGAGTTCTGAAAGTGCTTGGATTGTCCTGGACACACAAAGATTCACAGACATTGAATCTCTGACTATAGCCTGTGAATTAGCTGCTGACCCCCAGTACCACTGAAAGGTCTACAACCCATTCAGCTATATTGAGAGAAACCTGCAAAATAAAGCTGCTGGGCCCTGGCAAGCAGAAGTGGAGACACACCTTGCCAGGGACCCTTAAACAAAGACCCTCCCTAGATCACACTTGACCTTCCCTGGAGTCCATTTGATCTTCCCTGGAGCCCATGCACCCACCAGTGGCAGCAGTGAAGGCCGGCAAGGAACAGGTACCACCAAGGAAAATATCCTGGGATATGGCAGCAGCACTCAGAGGTCCCTGGGAGCATAGTATACTGTGGCATAAGAACTTGCTGAGCAGGCATCAGAGAAAATAGGCCAAGGGATGAGTCTGCTAGTCCATGTGCACTCAGGAACCCCCTTTCCTATCCTAAGTATTTCATTTCAAACATGCCTTTCACCACCATACCAATTCTTGTCCTGTGTTTTGGACCCCTGGTAGACAGCACAGAGAGCCTGTCTCTCTAATCCCCGTCTTTGTTTGATCTTTCCCAGCAGGGATCCTACATTTGTATGAATCCCAGTAGGGTATGCCTCTGCAGTACATCAACCTAACCATCGGTGGCAATGGCACTGATGATGCTATGGATACCAGACCTTCTTCTAAGGCCATTCTCTTCCTCTCTCCAAAGACAACCACATCCCATTTGATGTGGCCCCTCCTGGTTCTGGGTACCTGCCCCCTAGTGACAGCAGTGCCTCAGCCCATCTATCCACAAGTTAGTTTATATAATATGTCAAACTTTCTCTGGCTTTTTTTGCAAGTCATAGTATTTTTAAATCTAACCCATATTTTTATGTACATCTATAGTGTCTTCTTTTTTTCTGAGTAATATTCCTTTGTATAGGTGTACCACCATTTTGCATTCACATGTGGATAGGTGCTTTCACATATAGCTTTCAGTTATTAGAAATGAAGTTGGTGTTTACATTCTGTTTTTTTTAATGAAAGCATTAGAAAAGTTTATAAGGAAAGGAATATACTTTCAATAGTGTGAGAGCTAGTTGCCTCTAGAGTGAACATGAAAGGAATTAATGTGTATATTCTTGTGAAAGAGTTTTATGACCATTCTTACGTGTTTAACTTTTAAATCAACAGTCTCTTTTCTGAATTGACGTACCACTAGCAGTGCAGAAGCGTTTTAGTTCCTGCACTTTTCTCAGAAACACTTATTGTTGACATACTTTTAATTTTACACCTTCAACAGTTAAGTAGTGAATCCTCTTGAGTTTGGAATTTTCATGTAGGTGAGGATTAATGATAAGCCAATTTTCACGTGCTCATTTTGTGTCTCTGTGATTATCACTGATATCACATTTAAATTGCTTTGTTCATGATTTAAATTTTCATTACTACTATAAATTAGGTGTACAGAGGTTTCATTGTGATATTTCCATATACATGTGCAATATATTTTACTGTTAACTCCCTGTTTATTCCCCCTTTTAAACAATATTTAGCCATATCTTTAGTTTTTACAAATTTTCCAATTTATGGATTTAGATTTCTTACAGTGTATAGATAGTTTATTCAGGTATGTGATTTGCAAACATTTTCTTCCATTGTGCCTTATCCTATCCCTTCCTATCCACTTCTCATCTCCAGGGTATCACTATGTAGTCAAGTCTAGCCTCATGCCTCAAATGTTTTTCAAACAAAAATGTTTCATATCTGATGAAATCTATGAATTAATATTCCCATACAATTTGTTCTTGATGGTGTCCCTACCAAATCTTTCCCTAACCAAGAGCGTAACGTGTGCAGCTGACCTGGAACTCACTATGTTGCCCATGGATGCCTTGAACGTTCCATTCTCCTGCTTCCATCTGCCTTGTTATTGGTAATATATGTGCTACAACCACATCTGGACCACAAATTATTATTGATGGACATTGGAATTATTGTGTAGGCATCATGAGATCATTTTGCATACATATGTCTTAGACATATTTAGTATCTTTTCTAAATGAGTGAACTCTTCATGGCATCTTTGAACAGAAAACTTCAAATGCCAGTTATCACTAATAGACTGAGGTGACACAGTGAATCAAGTTATAAACTGACAAAGGGAAAGTGTTGAAAATGTTACAGATTTTTTAAATGAAGATGTTACAATATATAACTAAGTTGTGAAAAAAGAGAATTTACAAGCTGGGAACCTGCGATTTAAGCCTCTAATCCTAGCTACCTGGGAGGCCTAGACGTGGAGCATCATGGTTGGAGGCCCACTGGGGCACATGGTTCATGTTACCCCATCTCAACCAATAGCTGTGCACAGAGATGCACAACAGTCACCCCAGCTTGTGCAGTGGGCTGGAACTGGAAGATTGTGATTCCA